TGACGGGGTAAACTGGCCCTGTAAGACTTCAGGGTTTGGTGTCAAGTTTAACATCTAAGCAGGTGGGAAAACAGCACGAAACACAACCAATTAAAATCTCCTTTTCTTGTATTTTGCACAACAAAGCTGTTCTCTCGGCACTGGTGTTGACTGACGATTAATGTTAACAATATGCCTCCCCGAAGGAGTATAAAGAGGAGAAATCTACTTTACTCTGAAATACAAGCTTCAAAGGTAAAACTAGAAAGATTAACACTCAGACAGAGGGGGTTTCTTATAGCAAAAGGGTCAGGATGTTGAGTCTCATACAACACTACAAAAAAAAGAGGGCAGATGGAAAAGATGATGATAGAGGATGAAGAGGATGGCCGTTGAAGCTAAAAGTTAAGGCTTGTTTGAACCGAGGAAGTAAAGGAGTCTTTGAAGTGAGAGCATAAGCAGACATGTCCTATCTAAGCCTTCTGTAGACGCCCACACTCTCCCCTGATGAGAGAGAGAGAGAGAGGTGGACAAAAAATAAAAAAGTACTCCGAATGAGAGAAAATAACAGGAAGGGCGGGGGGGGGGGCCGTTTAGGAGGAAGATGACGATGAAACAGAATAGCGGATGGCATGAATGAGGAGATAAGGGAAGGCAGGGTGAATGGAAGACACAAAGGCCGAGCGAGGGTGAAGGAAGTGAGGAAGAATGAATAAAAAGGAGTCTGTTAAAAAGGAAGACTGTCGAGCTGGAACAGATGTAGAGAAGAAGATAGTAACAGAAAGATGAAGAAGTGTGAAATAGAAAGGAGAGGACATGCAGTAAAAATGTGTTAGAGTTTGCAGAAAAAAAGACTGTAGGTTCCCACTGCCACAGTAGTGGTAATTAAGCATGCTGATATAACTGCTCCATGCTGATATAACTACTCCATGCTGATATAACTACTCCATGCTGATATAACTACTCCATGCTGATATAACTACTCCATGCTGATATAACTACTCCATGCTGATATAACTACTCCATGCTGATATAACTACTCCATGCTGATATAACTACTCCATGCTGATAACTACTCCATGCTGATACAACTACTCCCACCACTTGTCCTAGATACAATCAGGAAAAGTGGAAGGAGGGGTAAAGGCAGGGGAGCCACGTGAGAGAGGGAGGAGACCAGAGGATGTGAAAGAAATGCAGGGAAACAAGGCAGAGGGATGATGGGAGGACGCAGAGGGGAAACGTCACTGGGACTTTCCCTGAGCTTTTTCTTCCCCCTCCCCCTTGTTCTTCAGAGTGGGTGGTGGGCAGAGACTCTCTCTTTAAGTCATGAACAGGAGCTCACCACCTCAACTCAGCCACATTGTACGTCTCTTTAACAAGACCCAGGACTCCTCCTAGGAAAGCTGCTCACTCAGTCAGCAAAGTCAGCTGAGGGAGAAGAGTGTTTGTCTGCAGTGGCCATCAGAGCATCAAACTCGTCAAAAGATGCCGTTTTTGACAGGTTTTCCATGGAGAGTACCTCTTTAATTGGACTGTACACTGAACCTTGTGTGTTCTTTTCCTGTTTGTGGGGACACAAGCTATAACTTCTATCCTTTGGCTGGATTGTTTTTGTTTTCCTGAGGCTTACTTTCTGCCCTTTTGGAGATGAGATCCAGTTCAATGCAGGTCAAGCCTGTAGCTACACAGCAATGCAGCGTGAGTGTTTACAGCAGCTCTGTGTGTTTGTGCATGGTGTACTGTTGGTCTTGCTTCTGTTTTGGATATTGGATCATTAGTGTAGTGGCAGCATAACGGCTTGCAGTAAAGATGATCTGATTAGGGAAGGAAGCACCCTTTTCCTCCAACGATGAAAAGCTTTTGTTGACTTCATAAAATATAGAACAAACTGGCCTTCAGGGAAAGTTCTGGTGGTTAAAGTTAACACGCACAGCATGTTCAAAAGTAAAAAAAAGGGTTATTGTTTAGAGACAAGTGTAAAATTGCAATAGCAGCAACCACGTGCATCCATGCATTTACAAACACACAACCCCAATACATGGATGTTGGTTGTGAGCAGTCCAACTGTCAAGGTATTTGTCCACTACTCCTGTAAATATCCTACAACTAATATTTAAAAAGTTTAAAGTGACTTATTAAGGTATAATAATGCTAATAATGTAGTTGCAACATATTAACCAAATACATAATGTGCCCCATTACAAATGTCCACATTCCCAATGTCTAAGGATTCTGTACCTCTGTTCCTGTAACGTACCTCGAGCCACTGCCACTAAGCTAACAAGCTTAAAAGCTTCAAATCAACAAAAATAAATACATTAAAAAATGCTGAGTACACTTACAATTATCATCCTTCTGCAAGTCGCCAATTGTGGAGCACAATTCTTCAATTCTCAACCCCATCTAGATTAGCTCAATTTAGCACAAGCAGTGGTTGGGGGGGGGGGGGCCAGATCAGATTACTATGTCAGACATGATAGTCTATTAATACTTATATCACATGATCATATTCATTCATACTATCTTACTATTGTATACTACTAGTCTTTCAAAGTGTATTATTGTGCTATGACTGCAGTCAGAACAGAGAGTAGTAACAGTTAAAAGATGTGATGTAATAATTAATTCAGTCACATTTTAATATCCAACATTAGTATCAAAAGTAATTCTGAAACCTTTTTGTGTCTCTAGGCAGGAAAAAGCTGTGACTGGACGTATAATATTTTGGGGCTGTCCATCCATCCCATTATCGTGATGTGAAATCTCAGGAATGCCTTGTTGAAATTACTTTCAAATTTGGCACAAACATCCACTGAGTTATTATGGTGGTCTCCTCCTCGTAATGTAGAGCTATGAATCCAAACACTCCTCGTACTTATTTATTACACGGAGTATATTATTACCCACTTCTGGACATGTTAAACTGCATTAAAACGTCTTAAGCTAATGACAGCTAATGACTAATAGCTAGTAGCTAATGACAACCACTAAGTCCAGCGATAAATCCACTCGAGGGTTTCCGCTGCTCTGCCCTCTTCAGCAGCAATTTCCTTTTGCTGTCAAGAGCCTCTTTAATTAGTTAGAACCACTGCAATCATAACACACCTCCCCCTACCTACTTCCCCTCTTCTCCCTCCTTACACTTCTATATATATCACTGCTCTGAGAACCAAGCAGCTCCTGGGAGTCCTGTACTTGTGTGTTCAAGCATGCTCCCTCTTAGTGTGTGTGTGAGTTTGTGTGTTCAAAATGTATGGCTTCTAATGTGAGTGGATGTGTGGAGCTTTTGGCATGCATGAAATAAAATATTCAGGAGCAGGCACGCACTCTGGTCCTGGAAATCTATTTTTCTTCATGCTGCTAGGAGCTTCAGTTTGGATTCAGATCCCTCATTCAGTTACAGCAGCAGCTACACTAAAATTAGACATCCTGAAGGTGCAAACATATGCATTACAGCTTATTGCCACATATAGAAACAGAAGATGTAGAGCAGTTTGGGGATTGTACAAAAGAGTTGTTGTTGCCCTCCCACAGGCTTTAGAGCACGTCCTGCATTATACATCACCCTCTTTTGTGTCTTCCTTCCTGCCCAGAGATATCAAAGGCATCAGTGCTTCTTTATCCTCCACTGGATCCGTTTCCGGTTGAATGCTGTAACACAAACGGAATAAATAACTTCTCTGCTCTTTGACCAACGCCAAGTGTCACACTCACACACCCATGAGGCATTGAGTTGTTTTTGGGCTGAAAGCTAATATTGATGTGAAACACTGAAACTGATCTCCAATTTTGTTTCAATTTCCGATTCGATATTGGATCGATAAGTTATATTTGAGTTACAACACCAACTTAGCATAGAGGTAAGATAAACCACTCTTACCTGTCCTGTTGCATAATAAAAAAAATTAATGTTTACATGAATAATTGACATTGAGGTAGTTACATTAATGTGTAAAAAGGCTGACCACACAAGACTTACAGGGTTAAAGATTAATGCTTCCACGGGAAAAGGAATACAGAATATCAACTGTTTTAATTCGATTTTTTTGGAACATCCATTTTTTTAAGCCCTACTCAAATTGAAAGGCGGGTTGACATGGCTGAATGGAGTATGAATGGGCTGCAGTAAAGATGAAATGAGGTTGTGTGCTTTGGTATTTAAAGGTTGCTTCTGTAAGACGTCCAATGCTGGCCTCTTAATGAGTGAAGTGACCTTCTCATTGGTATTGACAGCTGGATGTCGGTGTTAGAAAAGATCGGAATTCTTCTGCTCTTAGCCATTTAAAGTGACAATGAGATTTAATATAGAATATTGATCAGACTTCTATCAGTGGTTCCCAACATTTGATCTCCTTGTCACAAGTAATATATGTCTTGCTTTTTGGGTATAGAAGAGGGACAATGACTTCTTACATTGTTCTATTTTAATCTTTTTTTAAGAGTTCTGCAACCGGAAAAAATATAATTTCAGAAAAATATTATTCATTTCATTTCATTTCAAACCTTTATTTATACAGATAAATCCCATTGAGATCATTGATCTCTTTTTCAAGGGAGACCTGCTCAAGTAGTTCCACATGAAACAAAATAATAATATTTGAAATGACAAATCTTATTAAATGCTTTTTTTCCAACAAAACTATATACTGTACATCTTAGCTGTTTTAACTTTAAGAAATATGAAGCCGAACTAGCTTAATTCATTGTTGGTTTTGGTCTTTTAATGGGATTTTTATTTTATTTTCAACAATACAATTATACAATAATGCCAATGTCTTCCTTTAATCATCTCATGATGTATCAAGTCTGAATGCTTGTCTGTAAGCAATGTAGAGCAATGAAAAAGTAGAGCAATGAAAAAGTAGAGCAATGAAAAAGTAGCTCGAAATGAACAATTCAAATATTAAGTTCGTATTGTGATAATAGCAAATTCTAAAAGTAAAACATAAACTCTACCAGACACTCAATTCAATCTAGTTTTGAAAAGTGAAATCATTAACTTTTCCATGTTTCCATAGCACCACCAAGGGCTGGAAGACATCAGCCCCTCTGAAGAGGTGACGGATACGGAGGATAATGAAGAGGAGGACCTGGGAGTCCTGGACGACCAGCGGAGCATCATCCTCCACCTGCTCTCCCAGCTCAAACTGGGCATGGACCTTACACGGGTAAGGAAACTACATAAATAAACTGTGCAGGCTCATAAAAATGTGGTTTTCTGGTCATAAATGAGATTTTGTTGAGCCATTCCCTTAAGAAATGGTTTCCTTTCAAATCTCTGGGGTTTCATAGGTGGTGTTGCCTACCTTCATTTTGGAAAAGCGATCACTCCTGGAGATGTACGCCAACTTCATGGCCCACCCTGACATGTTCCTGTCAATCACAGCGGGGGCCACAGCCGAGGACCGGATAGTCCGGTTTGTGGAGTATTACCTGACCGCCTTCCACGAGGGCCGGAAAGGTGCCGTGGCCAAGAAGCCCTACAACCCCGTGCTGGGGGAGACCTTCCACTGCTCCTGGGAAGTGCCTCGGGACAAAGTCAAACCTTTGGTCAGATCCAACCAGGGGTCCTCCTGGGAGCCAAGCAGGGGCCCCAACAACACGCAGCAGGGCGCTGACTCACCAGCAGACTGCTACACTGTCCGATTTGTGGCCGAGCAGGTGTCCCATCATCCACCTGTGTCTGGGTTCTACTGCGAGTGCCGGGAGAAGAGCATGTGCGTCAACGCCCACGTGTGGACCAAGAGCAAGTTCATGGGAATGTCTATAGGAGTGTCCATGGTGGGAGAAGGTGAGATACATCACAACATGACCTCTCTGTAAAAACGTTTTTTTAATACAGTAATATAACAGCAATCCAGTTGAACATACTGCAAAAATAATGCAATATTGATCATGTCACAATGATGAGTTTAAACCAGGAAACAAGTTCAAAAGTAACTCTTACCAACACTGAACAAAACTAAATGTAATTCACATTTACTGTAATATTTGCTCAAACCTTTGCTCCAAAAATGGATTCCAACCAAAACATGCTGCCATTAAATATAGCTCACGTTTGTAGCATTAGTAGCTGAAGGAACAAAAGGTCAAACAGTTCTCAAATATTTGTTTTCTTCTGGAAAATCTCACTTTACAGTCCGTCACAGCCTCCTGTCCTGAAGGGAATATAAGGCTGCATGTCACTTATCAGGATTCATGTCATAGATTTTATGAAACAGGCATATCAAAACCCACACAGACTATGATCCCGCTCCCATGGCAGTCAATATTCCAGTCCTCTCTTAGCACCATTACACCATGTACAGTACGCTGCTGGGGATGAGTCACCCTGAGCACAGACACAGGAAGTCCTTGAGCCCGATCGACTGTTTCTGGACACCTGAACTCATCCAGTCAGACAGTACAGCTTTCTCAGGCTTCACCGCCCCCCCGACCGGCTGCCTGATGCTGCCTATTAGAGCACATTCTGACCCTCACCCCGGGAACTATTGATTGCTGGATATTCTTTTACCAGGGCTGCAACCCTGATAGCAGTTGATACAGGGTTTTAGGAATAGCCTGGACTTCGCTGATTGGCAGTGAGTCAGCAACAGAGAGGGATACAGCAGCTGATTCAGCCAGAATGATGGGTTTTGATTGGACCTTTACAACATTGTGATTAGGGCTCAAGTTGGCCTTTTCAATCAGCACAGGCATAATGTACACTTTCTAACGGTCATACTATGGCTTAAAGTACAATGATTATTATAGCTACACAAACTAGAGGGCGATATGGCCAGATTAATGTTACTTCCATCATGTGAACATTGTTCATTTATGCTATCCATTCTTTGAAACCATTGTCAGTACCTACAATAGTTAGATACTGACATTTCATTTCCATTTAGAGTGACCTTTTCTAACCTTTACTAATTATGCAGCTTTAGAGGGATTTTGTTACCTTTTGGACTAAAGACTGCTTATAAGTATTGCACATATTCACTTCTATAATTAGTATGCTGTATAGAGTTTGGCATTTTGATTGTCGACTTATTTTTTAATCGACTTTTATACAATATTTTTGCAACTATGGAATCACTGCCTGCTGGTTATTGGAGATAATGCAAGTTTAGAGCTCAGGTAGAATTATGAATGCACGACTAACTTATTTGAAAGAGTATTGTTCACAGATTGCTTGCTCCTTCATAAAAAACAACAACTCATGTCTCGTGTTTAGGCTTACAGGGTGACATACTGATACAATTGATCATACACGTTACACATACAGTTGAGCTGTTCTATAATAATTCATCATGGTACTCCTACTGTAGAAAATAACCTATTCAGAACCACATAAAGGCTTTTTGTCATCCCACTAGTGCCGCATAGAGCTTATCCTTGTGCGCATTTTGGTGAGAAATGTGATTATGACAAACAGTTAGACAATCATCTCACGGGCATTAGAGTTGTTGTTGTTTATTACACACTAATCCATGCTGAAGGACACAGATGATGCTGGTGTCGGTCATGTGTAAAGACTCTCATGGACTTGCAAACACAGAAGAAGATATTAACTGTTGGAGTATTTTGCATTACATAGTATAGACAACAATTAGGCCGAATGCTGCCTTCATTGTGGTTACATAAATAAACTGGTTTTATTGCCTATACACAAGATATGAAAACTCTAGCAAAAAGTACTCAACTTTATTTCTCACATATTAACTCCATGCAGGAGCACACTGAAGTGTGTTGGGTTCAGAATTCCAGAAAAGACAGACAACTTCTAAGTTTAACTATTTATTGTAAAGAGAGCAAAAGATATATATTACTTGGCCAAGGACTCATCACGTCCTTGGGAATCACAGGCAGCAAAGCTGTAATCTGTAACTACCAAATCCGTAAAGAGCCTCGAACCTCGTGCGACAATACATTTTATTACACAGGGCGTTGCCCGTTATGATTGGTCAAGACTAGATGAAGAGATGGACTTGGTTCTCTTTGGTTGGTGCACAGACTCAGATAGAGTCTCTTGGCAACACCAATCAGCATTCGGCCGGCCTGTGGAAGTCCCTCCCTACTCGGGCACCATCATACTAATTTGTTTTCTCTAACGTTTCTTCAGATATAGTGGGAAACCATAATGTTGTTTCCTAGCTTTGCGGGGGAGCGCGGCTCCAATACAAAGTCAAGGCCGGTGCGATGTGCTCTTCTGACTACCTCTCTGTGTTCTCTCAGTCTCTGCACTCGACCTTGGTACTTTTTTTTAGCTCTACACTGCCTGCTGTGTTTTACAAGTGCATAATAAAGATCATGCACATAACTGGCTTGGAATAAAACATATCTACATACATAGATTGAATTAGTAGTAATGATTAGGGTTGCAAAATTGCGGGAATTTTCAAAGATGGAAACTTTCCATGGGAATAAACGGGAATGTATGGGAATAAACTGGGAATTTTCTAAATTGAAGGTTGGCTCTTCATAGGGAACTTAAATATAGTTGGGGGAAGTATATTTTAGCATAATCTTGACTAAAACAAACAGATGCCATTCAAGTACACTTGAATATCCATGCCATAGCACATTGCTTACTGCATGGCTATTGAGACCACACAAAGGTTCGCAACAGGCTCACAAATGTGAGAGTGGAACAACCGGTTGGCATTCGGGCAAACCTAAGGCTCTCTGAGCCTGACACAGAGCCATCCTCATCAGCTGGACACTGAAGAGGAAGACTCAGAGTGTGATGTTGATGAGGCCCAGGAAGAGCCTGTTGACTGAAAGGGTTTAGCAAAAATGCAGAGGATCGCTTGAAGGAAGATTTGCTTTTGTTTAATGGAACTTTTTGGAGGGAGAAGGGCTCTTTTCATTTAACATTTTGAATGGGACTTTGTCGGGATTTTTGGATGGGGGTGCATTTTTGTTCATTTTTTAATGAGTGGGGTTGGGGGGGATGAGTAATATTTAACTCAACATTCCTGTTTTCGTTCTTCAATTAAACAAATAATTGTTCAATAGAATAATTCAAACTTGTTCTGTTCTACTTAAACATTTTTTATTTATTTTTTTAATCTGTTGAAATGTCATGTTTTTTGTTTAATTTTGTATTGACTATTTCCAAAATTCCCCAGCTTTTCCCCATGGAAACTTTCCGTAAATGTACCGGAACTTTCCGCCCCTTTGCAACCCTAGTAATGATTCCAACTTTTGATTATACATTCAGACAAAGAGAGGCTGTGTGCAGAGAAATCTGCTAGCTCCACATACCTCAGCTAATTGTTACCAAACCACATTTAGTCATTAGCTCACCATAAACAGGTTTCTCTCAATGTTTTACAGCTCCACTGAAAGTACCTCTCACTAACACGATGTCATCTCTGCTTATCTTGCGCTTTAGTGCATTTCTACTCCCATCATTTATCTGAAGATTGACTTCATCCTCTTCTATGTATTCCTCTTGGCTCTCAGGGGTCCTTTGTCTCCTGGAGCATGACGAGGAGTACGTGTTCACGCTGCCCTGTGCCTACGCCCGCTCCATCCTCACCGTGCCCTGGGTGGAGCTGGGGGGAAAAGTCTCCATCAACTGTGTCAAGAGCGGCTACTCTGCCACCGTCACCTTCCACACCAAGCCTTTCTACGGAGGGAAGGTCCACAGGTGAGGGTTCTCTCCTGCTGCCCTCAAACATTACATCTCACTCTCACAGCTGACATTAAAGGCTGATATGTCTTTTCCTTTTTTTATATAATATATCAAATAGTTCAATATTTGCAAGAATGTTATTGTATTAAATAACAGTTTATCACAAATAACGTACACACAATAAATACTTTACTAAGTCTAATAGTTTCTGATATTTACGACATAATGTTGAAAATATTTTAAAAAACGACATAGTATATAGTATGTTTAAAATATATAGAAAATTGTCAATGTATAGAATGTTGAAAATATCACAAAAAACATAGTATAGCATGTCCAAAATATATATAAAAAAATAAATAGTATAGTTTGTCGGAAATATTAATAAAACCCGACATTGTCCAAAATATATTTGAAAATCCAACATAGTATTATATTTCAAAATTTGACAAAAAACAACATAGTATGTTGAAAATATCAGAAAACACACGTAAGAGAAATATGTCGAAAATATCGGAAAAAAACGACATAGTATTGTATCTAGAAAATATGAAAAACATAGTACATTACTTTTGTAATATGTTACTCTGATAACAATCTGATGGCATACTATAATCTTTTTATGCATATTGACAGTCATACTTTTTAGAAATGTGTTCTTATTCAATATTTTCTGGGATACGACCACGATTTCTTTCTCTTTCACTTTGTACATTTTTTATTGCATAGATACTTTTTTACATAATATACTATGATTTTTCTACCTCATTATACTATGATATTTATTTGCATGTTATGGCTACTAAACTATGAAACAAATACCATGACCTTTTACATTTTTTACTATTACTTTTTAAAGACATTTGATAGAATACAATACTCTATATTTTCAGAACATTCTTATTGAATACTAAACCATTTTTTATTTACTATGAACCTTTATGATTTTTGATGGCATACCATGTCACGAGTTTTGGACATTTAAGACCTTAGGATAAAAACAGAAAAACACATTTCAGTGATTTTATCTCTTTTTTTCTTTTTTTACTTTAATGACTTAATTTAATGAACAACTTAAAAACGTAATGCAGGTAAAACGTTATCTACATTTAGAACTAAAATCAGTTTATGAGACAAGGTTCATATCAAGAACATCTTTAGCTAGTGTTTGTGAGCAATGTGGTATTTTATTTATCACATTTAACAATGCAGAATGCAGGTATACATATGACGTACAGAACAATTCCCAACGACAATGTCTCTGTTTTGCTGACTCAGAGTGACGGCCGAGGTCAAACACAACCCGACCAACACCATCGTGTGCAAAGCTCAGGGCGAGTGGAACGGCACGCTGGAGTTCACCTACAGCAGCGGAGAGACCAAAGTGATCGACACCACCAAGCTCCCGGTCACCAGGAAGAAGCTGCGGCCTGCCGAGAAACAGTCAAGGACAGAATCCAGGTGACATATTAATGCTTTTCTCCAACAAGTGCTAGATGTGGCCAGAGGTGGGAGAAGTACTCACATGTTGTACTTGACTAGAAGTACCAGAGTGTAGGAATAGGCTGTTACAAGTAAAAGTCCTGCATGCAAAAGGTTACTCAAGTAAAAGTACAAAAGTATCAGCATCAAAATACAAAAAGTAAAAGCACTTATTATGCAAATTGGTAAATTTCCGAATGATATATATTATGTGGTTTGATAATAATTATTGATGCATTCATGTGTTATCAAAGCTGGTCAAGGAGCAGCTAGTTTTAATGACTTTGTGAACTGCAGGCTAGCTTGTGAAGTGTAACTAAAGTCTGACTTAAGTGTTGATTATATTTCACATAATTAATCAAAGTCTGTAAAGTAACGAAAGGTAATGAATGTAGTAGAGTAGAAGTACACGATTCACCTCTGAATTGTAGCGGGGTAAAATAAAAAAGTAGTATAAAATGGAAATACTCAAGTATTGCAAAATTGTTCTTACACTGAACAAAAATATAAATGCAACACTTTTGTTTTTGCTCCCATTTTTCATGAGATGAACTCAAAGATCTAAAACATTTTCTATATACACAAAATAACCATTTCTCTCAAATATTGTTCACAAATCTGAAAAAATCTGTGACAGTGAGCACTTCTCCTTTGCCGAGATAATCCATCCCACCTCACAGGTGTGGCATATCAAGATGCTGATTAGACAGCATGATTATTGCACAGGTGTGCCTTAGGCTGGCCACAATAAAAGGCCACTCTGAAATGTTCAGTTTTGTCACACAGCACAATGCCACAGATGTTGCAAGTTTTGAGGGAGCGTGCAATTGGCATGCTGACAGCAGGAATGTCCACCAGAGCTGTTGCCCGTGAATTGAATGTTCATGTCTCTACCATAAGCCGTCTCCAAAGGCGTTTCAGAGAATTTGGCAGTACATCCAACCGGCCTCACAACCGCAGACCACGTGTAACCACACCAGCCCAGGACCTCCACATCCAGCATGTTCACCTCCAAGATCGTCTGAGACCAGCCACTCGGACAGCTGCTGCAACAATCGGTTTGAATAACCAAATAATTTCTGCACAAACTGTCAGAAACCGTCTCAGGGAAGCTCATCTGCATGCTCGTCGTCCTCATCGGGGTCTCGACCTGACTCCGGTTCGTCGTCGGAACCGACTTGAGTGGGCAAATGCTCACATTCGATGGCGTCTGGCACGTTGGAGAGGTGTTCTCTTCACGGATGAATCCCGGTTTTCACTGTTCAGGGCAGATGGCAGACAGCGTGTGTGGCGTCGTGTGGGTGAGCGGTTTTCTGATGTCAATGTTGTGAATCGAGTGGCCCATGGTGGTGGTGGGGTTATGGTATGGGCAGGCGTATGTTATGGACGACGAACACAGGTGCATTTTATTGATGGCATTGTGAATGCACAGAGATACCGTGACGAGATCCTGAGGCCCATTGTTGTGCCATTCATCCACGACCATGTTGCAGCATGATAATGCACGGCCCCATGTTGCAAGGATCTGTACACAATTCCTGGAGGCTGAAAACATCCCAGTTCTTGCATGGCCAGCATACTCACCGGACATGTCACCCATTGAGCATGTTTGGGATGCTCTGGATCGGCGTATACGACAGCGTGTTCCAGTTCCTGCCAATATCCAGCAACTTCGCACAGCCAATGAAAAGGAGTGGACCAACATTCCACAGGCCACAATCAACAACCTCATCAACTCTATGCGAAGGAGATGTGTTGCACTGCGTGAGGCAAATGGTGGTCACACCAGATACTGACTGGTTTTCGGACCCCCCAGATCCCCCCAATAAAGCAAAACTGCACGTTTCAGAGTGGCCTTTTATTGTGGCCAGCCAAAGGCACACCTGTGCAATAATTATGCTGTCTAATCAGCATCTTGATATGCCACACCTGTGAGGTGGGATGGATTATCTCGGCAAAGGAGAAGTGCTCACTATCACAGATTTTTTCAGATTTGTGAACAATATTTGAGAGAAATGGTTATTTTGTGTATATAGAAAATGTTTTAGATCTTTGAGTTCATCTCATGAAAAATGGGAGCAAAAACAAAAGTGTTGCATTTATATTTTTGTTCAGTATATGTACAGTACTTGAGTAAATGTACTTAGTTACCTGCAAGCTCTGGATATGGCAGCTTTTAAATGTTCTTGTTGTGTGTTTTACTTTTGCCTTTAGGCGGTTATGGCAACATGTCACCAAGTCTCTAAAGGACGCGAACATCGACAAGGCCACGGAGCATAAACACCGGCTAGAGGAGCGGCAGAGAGGAGACGAGAGGCAGAGAACGGCTGACAACAAACCCTGGACCCCAAAATACTTCACTAAAGAGGTACAGTGGAGGAGATCAACAACGCTGTGATATAAGGCTGGAACTCAGAAGGAACGCTTGTTGTTGCCATGGTTTTTTGCTGATGACTTGGTGTAGGAAACATAGCAAAACAGTATTTACTGTGGTAAATGTTTACATTGCAATTGCATGATTCAGATATTATCGCAGATATCTGATGCTAGTGTTTTTCTCATTTTTAGTCTGCTATTTGGAATCTAACAAAATACACACAATTAATTATAAAACAGAAGGATGTTGTGTTAGGCTTTTTTTTTTTATTCGTCACAAATTAATGATATAGATTGAAAATTACTGATCATTAAAATATTTATATCAAAAAGTAGCAATACAATCCTGCATTGATGTGGAGTCACTGGTTACATGACATGGAGAATCAAGACTTTAAAATAAAAACAGCATCATATATTATGAAGGTAATAATAGAGAATAGAAAAAGAAGTGACTTACGTCTAGTCGAGTCATTAGGTCACATAATATGGAAGCTGTTGAAAAGACAAGGGACTTTTTAAGAAAGAAAAACATCATATATAAAAGAAGAACCCCTGAAAGGGGAGACAAAAGAAAAATGTTTTAAAATATCAATACATTTTTTTTTTTTTCCCACAATTTTGAGATTGTAATAATAATACGTTTTATTTTGAGGAGCCTTTCAGAGCACCCAAGGACACCTTACAATTCATAAAAGTTCTTACAAAAGGACAAGACATGTTTCTACACATATATATGTATACACTCTATAATGCAGCTTCTAAGTACCAACACACATTCTGTGGTCTTTTTAAATGGTTAATTTACCAAAACAAACAACATAGACACTTTCTCACTTACCTAATTTCCAATTCTCCATTTGTTCTCCTCTCACACACGCAGGGAGAAGGTTGGATCTACAACAGCCCACTGTGGAAGTCTACCTGACAGCAGATTAACGGTCTCTACTGACGGACAATAACAGATCCCCCTCCACACTGAGGTCAGAGGTCAAGAGAAGGGAGCCATGACCTTCAGACCTGAGCTGCAGACTCTGTGACACCATGGAGTCACATGAAGGAAACAAGCAAGGTGCCAAAGCGATTTCCACTGTTAAAACCAAGATGGTGGTTGGATCTCTTGGGACTATAGTACGTTTTATATACAGCTAATAGTATTACTATCAAAGTAGAGTATTTCTATTTTACACCTTGCCAAGGCATTTTTTTGCACATGCACTGTAATGAAGTTTGCCACTGGTGTTTTTTTTTTTTGTTCCAGACATTGTAATTGTTTGGTTCCAAGCTTTTAGTTTGTAACGCAGCGTTAGAATGAGTTGATACGAGTTCCCTGTAACACATAATACTGTAGCTGTAAAGAGTTGTTATAAAGCACTTTTATCATAGAAATATATTTAATATTTTATATCTATAGCTTTTACTAATCAGGGTGGTCTTTTAAAAGCTTTACAGGAAGTAAGAACACCTAACCACATTTAATTGAGATATGAGTAAAGAGTTAAATGTACTGTGTTAGTATATATTATCATTACAGTGAGCTTCTAGAAAGTAAAGGATTGTTTTGTCTGCACTATGAATGTATCTGGGCACATTTTAATGGCTTCTTTTCCATCTTGTACTGTCTGTTACACATGCCCTTTGTGTTTTTATATTTGCTCCATTTCAAATATTCCACCCGTGGAGTGAGACGCCTCTGTAAAACAGACGCTTTCCATTACTACCTCTCTAATTCGGCTATTTCAGCCATTAGTGACTTTGTATCCTTCTTCTTCAAAACAGAAAATACTGGTTTGTTTGTTGCAAAATGCTTCTGGGTCCTCTTATCTTTTTTACTCATGCCCCTAAAATGGCACTTGTGTAATTAGGCAGCCCGTGCCTCTTGAAGTTTAATACTTCTCCTCAGGTCGCCCGTGGTGATGAATATGGATGAAGAGGCTTGTAGAAAACACACAGCCATGTTCTCACATCTGGGGTTTGCTGGGAGGTTGCCTCTGTGAAGATGAGGATAATCCAGCAGAATAACAATCCCTGGGAACTGTTGGAGAGAAAAGGAAACGTGTCGGGTCATAATACCGTGGTAATCACTTTCTCTCACGTTTGACAAACCATGTTGGCTGTCTTCATAAGTATTTCTCATTTATCTCTCATTGCATTCCCTGCTTGATTCCTCAGGCGTTCCTTCACTTACATTCTCAAATATGAATACCATTTTAAATCCAGGTGAATTTACCAGAGGCCTATTTTGTCATAAAGAATAGCCCTGCAACCATTTAGAAAACATGTCATCTACAGCCACTTCATCACTTACCTTACCTGACACTAACAAGCAGTCTGTTGTTATGAAAGGCTCCAGAGGAAGTACAGATTGTCCCATTAATGAAACCCTTCTCCATGTTTTTGTTTTTTAATAAACATGTATTCTCATGATGTCCTGAATGTATATCTGTTCTGCATCCATGTGATTATTATCAAAATGTAAACCGTTCAATCCACCGCTGGAGGACCAATGAAACGTCTCATCTGTCATCACAAAGGTCAAAGCAGGAACAGATTGAGATCATTTTGTTTTAATAAATGTGCCATGGCAGTCATTGACTCACTCAGGTTTATTCCTTTGTCCCCCAGCTCATTAGAAAACCGTTTGAAAAGATAACTTTACGCTCAAATAGTGCTGTAAATTGTACCTTTATCGTTCTCGGGTCAAATTTGAATCATTTTCTTTTTTTAGCCAACAAAACAAATCAAACTCGTACAACACGAACGTGAACCTAACTTGTAACCTCAAATCCATTTGGATTTTTTGTGGTGTTGTGGTCATAAAACCTTATTTACCTGATAACTAAATCTTCAAATCTGACCCGCAGAGAACATTGGTGCAGCACGAACATATTCTTGGTAGGTTTGAGGATCAAACTCAAAAGGAGTTTGACCTTTTTTTTATTAACAAACCGATCAAGGCCCTTCATATTCTCTGGAACTCCATAGATGAAAACATCTTTAGACACTTTCAAAATCAGATGAAAAGTAAACGATTGGTTTTCTCGAGTTTATACAGCTGGTTGGAAGCACTGTCCCAATCGAATAAACTGGATATTATTCAAGGTCAAATTAGACCAACAGAATAAAGAACTGGGGAAGTAAGCTATTTCCAAAACATGGAATATTGAATCCTGCAAACGGTGACCAAATAATGTAGCTGATAGCAGGATCAAGTCCTTTACATTACGTAGCATTAACTGAAGTGTTACTATTTAACAGAAGCATGCGAACATGGCAACATGCTAGCTAAACCGGAAATGAACATCCAGTTAGAATACTGGAGTGATGTGCGAAAGGTTGACACATGAGCAAGAACAGCCTAAACCGATGAAGGTCACGCAATAACAAAATGGCTTCCGTTGCCATCCTCTCTACAATTGCTATTTGTGTCTTTAAATGATTTTTGTTAAGTTTACTGGAAAAATACCTTAAGTGCAAGATGTTCTGATTCTGAAGCAAAACATCTTCATCTAAAGAATAATGCTGCCATCAAGTGGTTGGCTTTGTGTTCACCTGGGTTACACACCAGTACAATTATAATCCTGATTCATAATATGTTCAAAAGGACTCATAAACACGTCAATAACAACAACGCACACACATGTTTTCATTAGAGTGTATATTTAAAGATGGCTGAACAGAAACATGTAAACTTTCATTAAACAAACGGTGTTAGGACAGACGGCACTCAGCTACTAAGAAACGAGTAAACTTAGCGAGGAAGAACCGCTCTGCCGCTGCTAATCGACACACAATGAAAACATAAGAGGGCGAAAAACGGTACATCACATTAAGGCTTGGTCTGAGCTCTCTCCTCTCTTGACAAATGAGAAACAGGAAGGACAGGACTCAGTTTTAGGCGTTCGTGTGACTGAATAAAAATGTGGCATTGTGTCAAAAGTCTGAAATGGTGACACTCAAGTTTCAGAGATCAAAGAAAAGAAGAACAAAGCCATTCAGACATTTTTTCAAAAAGTGTAAAAAAAACAAAAACAGCCTATACTAATACAAATCACCTTTCTGTGAAAGTGACAGAACAATGATGTGTTAGTCTTTTGATGCGTCACTTGATAAAAAATGAAAGTTACTGAAGCGTGCACATACATAACACCTGTAGTGCCCGCAGAACAACAGGTCAAAGGTTATGCTCCTTAGAGCTGTGTCCAAACTCTAAAGCACCTTATATGGCTGGAACTATTTAATATGTCAACTGAAAGAAAATGTAAAATCTTTTTTATATTGGAATAGTGTTCAAGTTATTATTTTAAGCACAAGTACAATTTGTAAATTATTTATTTGGTTTACTTTGTCATTTATTTGACGATATGTCAGATGTGAAAATTGGGCATTTCTTTCTACCATGTGAAGATTTATTAAGAAAATAATGATGTTTGCAGTACTACTTTATACTCGTATTACATAATATACACCACCTGCACTATTCAGATGAACGCATCACATCTTATATGATTACTAGAATTGTAATTAGTCAGTTGCGCTAATTTTACACATGAAGCAATTGTATTATCAGATTTCTCACTCCAAATTTGTGTTACAGATTGTGGATGAGAAGTCTATTCATAAAAAGCGTTCGGGGTGCATCATGGGAATTGTAGGATGCATCTTTCAATCATTTCTCAAACAAAAAGCTACTTATTTCAACCTTTCTCTGCATTTCTAATTTAAAATGATTTTAGGGGTTATGGCAGTTGGTCAAGAAAAAAATTCAGTAGAATGAAATCCCATTGGTCTCTGAGAAATTAACATTTTACGTACAAAAAAACGAATTGAGAAAAAATGATCAGCAGATACAATGATGAAAATAATCCTTGGTTGCAGCCTAATTGTTTATTGGATCATTTGAGAATAATGGTTGACTATAGTGTGAATTAACCAAACCTTTTTAGACTTGTATGCAGCATGGACATGAGGACACAGCTCTAAAAAGCACAAAGGGCCACGCAGTCACAGAAAGTGATGAAGCGTCTCCTGACCTCTGCCCTTCTCTAGTCTCAGTGCCTGTGTACTAACTAACTAACCCCTTCACAGTTCACCAGTCACTGCCAACGCCACAGTCTGGTGAAAGAGATATGATGAGCTGAAAGAAAAACTAACAGAGTCCCAGAGGACCGAGGCGATGGTGACCGGCGATGAGGCACTAGGCTCTGCACGTTCAACTAGAGAGCTCCCTCTGCAGGAAGGGAAGCCTAATTCATTATCACTACTTTTTACACAGTTGCTTGCTTCCGTCTTTAAAAACCCTAACAGCAGAAATGTACAATCTATGCAATTCATGAAAAAAGGGAGATGTGAAGGGGGAACATTGTAAAAATTCACATTCATTCTTCCAACAAAATCTCAAGCCCCTTTGTACAAGAATTATTGCATTCACGGTTCTATTAGCTGTCATAAAAACAAAAAGGAATCAACAGAACAATCACATTAAGAACTTAAGAGAAAAACTGACAACTGCATATTTAAAAATCACCACAATAATCCAATATATTATCATCCTTTTTAGACTTATTCTTTACATAACATATGTACACATTAGGCCAATTTGTTTTCTAAAGAATTTGTTGAAAAAGAAGGTCGGGGAGCCAGGCAGACGTAAAGGAGAGGACGATGATAAAAAGGTTCATATTACAGACGGTGGCGTTCCTCCATGCCGCATACTGTCCTCTGTACACGTGTCAAGAACAAGTCCTCAGCTTCCCCCCCGCGCGTCCTCACTCTCAGTAATGAGTTCACATGTGCCATGGAGCAAGGTCGATGGGTCTTTGGTGCAAATGTTCCCAGTCTTCTCTCGTTTCCCCCTTCACACCCCGATCCCCGCACTGATAAGCAGTTAATTAAACGTACCACAAAAAATAATCGACGCCGAACCAAGCAGAGCAGACCTATGCCTCGCCACACATTCAAGTACAAAGCAATAAAACAAAAAGAAGAAAGAACTAAACGGGGGAAAAAAGATCCTCAGGATAAAACGGACAACAGTTCTGGAGCTAGCCAGAGGTTACACTTCCTCAACACACGGGGGCGCTCTAATGAGAAGTGCTGGAGACCAAGGTCCAGATAAGTGGCCCCTGTGTTCTTCTTCATTGGTTGTTGGAGGTTTCTTCGCAGTTGTTTGTTTTCCTAGAAGAGTTCATCGACACCATTATTTTTTTTGCAGTTTCTTGCCTTTCCTCAGGGCAAGCTTGTTCTTGATGTGTCCACGCTTCCTCTTGGCCGTCTGGGTAAAGGGGCAGAAGAGAAGAAAGAAGTGAAATCTAATGACAAACCTTTGGAGAGCTTTCATTAAAGAGCAACATACACAAAGAGTTTTCTCTACGTTTGTGAAAGGGGGAGTCGGGGTCCCAATTAAAAATATACAATTTACTAGGGATGTTGAAAATAATAGTTTCTACGATGCATTGCGATGCGGACGTGGACGATTCGGTATCGATGCAGTGACGGAAGATAATCGATTATAGCGTAGTAACGTTGCTTCCATCCATCCTGCTTTATCCACCAACACAACACCACCAGTCCAGAACCAACAGCAGAAGGACCCGCTCTGGATCACTCCGTGTCGCTGCGGCTCAGGGATTTATGTTTTTCAAAAATAATCGCGTTACAATCATGTCAGGTTTTTGGTGGATTTAATTAAGTCTTGGATTGCAAAGTATGAAAGTCCTCTAGCAATTTTCAGACGATATATACGTGTGTAAAGTTTGTGAAGGCAGGAGGAAAAAAGCTTCCGCGATCACCGTCTCCTCTCCGTTCCTCCAAGCCCCGCCCTGAAAATAATGAGTGACAGGCTGATAGTGACCCGATAGAAACTTTATTATTCACTTAATCACTGAGATATAATGAAGCTAATTTAATCTCATACATTCATGGGATTTATGTAACAGTAAGACAGAGAATGTAAGTGTGCACCCACATGCAGTATTTTAGTTGTTATATGCTGTTGTAAATACTCCTGTTGTCTGCTGTGTTCAGACTCAAGTCCTGTGTGTGATGCCACATTCAGGACATTCAGTGTCCTTTCTTTAACAGAAGACTGTAGCTAGAAGCTGCAGCTAGACTGCAGAAGCATTCTTTTTTTGTTTTTGAGGATGGAACAACTTCACACATAGATATAGGGAGGCTAGACCTATACAATTCATTTATTTTGGTTTATAAATGAATGTCAAGACATTTATGTTATTGATTTCTGAAGCACTTTCTAAATAATAAAAAGAGAGTTCATATGTATTTACTGCATGTATGCATTGATGAAAAATAAGCCATGTGCAGTAATATAGAAAATTGAAGATGCAACGCATTGGTATGAATCGTGATATCGAATTGAATCGAATCGAAGACAGGATAATCGTAATCGAATCGTGAGACCAGTGAAGATGCACAGCCCTACAATTTAAGGGGGTTATTACGAATATTACGACATATGTGTACAGAACAACAATTTGAAAAGGTGAGGAAGATAATACATTAACAGCACCTTAAATATTTAATAAAAACTAGCGAAAAAGTCCACTTGGGACCACAACCATTAGATCAAAAAAACATCCTTTGGTTAGTTTCTTTCAAAATGTATTTTACATAATTCAACTTAAGTGGGGCCCCAAGAGACCTGCGTGCCTTATAATCGGTCGGGATGACAATTAGAAGAAGAATTAGAAGAGTTTCAAAACAAATGTTCTGCCTTTCTCCGAGGAAAACCATTTGATTGCATTTTTATTTTGCTCTAGAGGTCATCTTGTCCTCTAGAGCAAAATAACCAGGGAAATTCAGGGCAGCATAATTGCATCTTTCTAAAACTGGAAGGCATGAATTCTGTATTTAAAACGGGAAGTGCCCCGTTACCTTTTTGGAGGTGAACTTCTGCCTGGACACCACGCTGCGCAGCTTGTGCTCCAGCGGCTCCCGGTTCTCCAGCTTCTTCACCTTGTAGATCCTCACCAGCCAGTGCTCCGAGGTGAACGCCTCCTCCAGGTGCTTGAACTTGATGTCCTTGTTGCCGATCTCGGCGTTACGTGTCCGGTCGAAGCCGGGAGGCGTCCGGAAGTCCAGCTGGGAGACGGAGAAGCACGTCATTTGACTCATATTATAGAGCTGCATGCTAAATATTTTTGTTTTCAAGAAATAACTATTGCAATTTAAGTTAAAACCGTTAACCAGGCTAGCCCTGTCTACAGAAATCTAAATAGTGTGGCACAATTTGTCCATTTACATTTCAGGTTTTATTGGGATTAAAGAAACAAGATATAACGTTTATTTAGTGTGCTCTACCTTTGGACAGCTTGTCTTCTGTCCAAATGCTAAGCTAAACTCATATTTAACCTGATACTTAAGTAGCGTTATAAGTTACACACAATTCAAACTTCATAATCAACTAAAATGTACCAAAGAAAACAACAAGCCTCATGATAACAGGCAGCCTCCCCCCTTTGGCCACCATGACATCACACTCACAGCATGTTGTTCCTGTTATTCTGCTCTAACAGTCCTTACTGTGTCCTTCTTACTTTTGATTTCCCACAGATCTACTCTCAAAGCTACCCTCTACCTTCCTTCTGTTGTTATTTGTCCTTTTAGTATTCACTCTCACTCTCCCTTTGTGTGCCACGTTCCCATCTACAGGACACCTTGGCATTTTGTTTATGCCTTCAGGCTGCTAGAGGACACAGAGTGGGAAATACGACACCATTTTAGTCACAATAGCTGCATGTCTTGCTGTTCAACGAGTCATTTAATTGTCAGGGAAAATATATACACACATTATTAGATGTTTTTTGGCAATACCACAGCCTGGTTGTATTTCTGACATACTTTATAGTACGTACTGTATTATACACTGTCAGTATAATCCTTTAATCTCCTCTCCCTGCTACAAGCAGCATCCACAACCATCTATTATTGTCTTGTTCCTGTTGTCATCTAAGCCTCCGTTTCCCCTTGTCACATCCTGTTTCCGTGAACCTAATCTATCCTTCCTACTCTCCCATTTCTTTTTCCCTCCCTCCTGTCCTTCATCTCCTTCTGTGCCTCAGTCTCTCCACCTATGTCCCCCCGTAACAGAGCTGTGAGCCGCACACAGCTCTGGCAGTCTGTCTCTGGATAGTGGTTGCATTGATTCTCTGCTGAGCTGTTGGCTGGGCCTCATCTGCAGCGGGATGCAAGCACCTGGAGAGAAGGATCCCTCTCATCTCTCCTCTGCTGCCTTCCAGAAGTAGCCGAGGGATATTTGCACGCTTCCACCAATCCTTCATACTCTGCCTCCATCCCATTTACCCCCAAACACCCACCTCTCCCAACCTCAGGAGCTCCCCAAGGCATTTCCTTAAATCCTCTTCCGCCTGTCTGTCAGCAGGATCCGCTTTTAAGATACAGTTGCAAGAATCTTTACACCTTTGGTGGTGGCAGCTGCTTGTTATTCTGTGTTCAAGCCACAGGCTGCAAAGAAATATCTAGCAGTAGTGCTTTTTAATTCTTTGCCAATTGCAGCGGCTTGTTACTTTCTGATCTCTGCACAAAGTTATTGATGCCTGTGAAGTGGATCCCCATAACATATTTTTGAATTCAGAGTTTCTCCCTGACCTGGAGAGGAGAAATGATCAAAGACCTGCACAGTTGTTGCAAATCTTTCTTTGTCATGTGAAGAATCTTAGATGAGTCTCTTCTAACCTGCATTTCACCAAATCGGTAATAGGACATCTTGTACATGAGGCAGTTGAGCAGAGTTGGTGAACCGGCTTTGTCCACTCTGAACTCTCCCTGAGGGGTGAAGTAGTCGCTCTCCTGAAGGGGACGAGAAGAAGGTATGGGAAGATAAGGTCAGTGTCATAAACCCACAAAGTTCACGAATACACCTTGGTCATTGACTAACAGTGGGTACAGCTCAGGTACCAGCACTTGTGTTGTCCTGCTGTTTATGTGTTCTAGAGTTTACTGCCCTTCACAGAGAAAGATAATAGTCCACAGTTTGTTGTGTGATGTAGTGCTACAGCTGCTATTCACAACATTCATTGAAAAGTATGTAAATCCAGCTTCTCCTCAACCAGTGTTTGTGCAGGGACTGGTAATAATGAATGATCTTTAGAGATGATGGATGGTACATAATGGTGGATTTGTGAGTAGCAACGTGTTCTTGTTTCTCTGAAAAACCCGTGTCTCGACTGCATGTAAATCTACAGAAATGGTTTCGTGACTCCTACTTGAGTTGTATGCTGTTATTTCAAGACAGAAAACAAACTAAAATGGGGACAAACTTGAAAAGTGGTATTTTCTCACAATGATAAGAAAAGTAGCAATTCAGTGTTAGCCTTTAAGTCCCGGAAAACAAGTCAGGAATGCACGACCGTGGTCTCAACGGAGTCTGTTGTGGGGATGATTATAGAGAGCGAGTGTGTAAGAGTGAAGAGGGCTACATTGAGATTTCACTGCTGTGAGAGTTCCTGGAGAAAAGCTGCAGTGACAGGCGGGTCAGAAACTCACCCTGATGTCCTTGGGGTGCTCTCCCTCTGCTATCCTCACCATCCACAGGAACTTGTTTATGTCGTCACCTGAGTAACCGATTACACCTCCGAAAATGATCAGCACGTAGTCCACATCCAGCGACCTCATGATCTGGTAGGCTGCGCTCTCGTTGGAAGACATGGCTTTCCCCACCTAAAAAACGGCAAAGAAGTCCTACTTTAATTGGAGTTTACAAGACAGGATGCTTCAATACAGCAATAGGAAAGGAAAATAAGAAGGATTTATTAAAGAGACATCAATCTTGTTTTCTGTGTAATTACATTTCCTGTGGACAGATGCCGGAGTAGGAAGCAAGAGAGAACAAAGCTACAGAGCCTTCGCAGACTTAACTTAAAGACAAAATGATTCCACTACATTTAGCAGCAGAGAGACACAAAACATAAATCGAACGAGTCTGACAACAATTAAGTGCAATTCCCCCACAGTGTAGATTCAATGGGAATAGTTGGAGCAAACAAGATTATCTGGCTTGTTGGAAGGAGCGGTTTTATGCTACATAAAAAGAAATAAATCACTGGAGCTTGTTAATCATCTAGACTGCTGCAGGTTTTTATGCATGTGAATGAATCAAAACAGAAAGAAAGCAAAGTGATGAAGAATGAAACTGGCATGAGGCTCACCAGGGCTATGTGGCTGTTGTTCCACGTGTTATTATCTACTAGTGTGGTCCTGTTGGCCATTCCCGCTATCTGGTATCCGTAGTCCCACCACGACATGACGCGAGCGTTCTCTTCTGTGTTCTGCCTCAGCCAATAGTACGCCTCCCTGAAGTCATCCAGGATGTTGCGGGTCCTAACAAAGAGAGTAAGGTTGACAGGTAACAGCGTTGACAGGTATATACATGAAGCAGCGGAGGCAATTAATAATTCAGTCAAGACTTCCAGAAGGGCAAAAATAGATGAAAATAGACCAGCCATGCATAATAAAACGAGGGTTAAAAAACAGCTCACACTCTGAACACTCATGTCCTAAATTGACCTCGAGGAGCAGACGTAAAGCCAAACAACCAATTAACTTTAGGTATGGTAATAATTGATTATGCTTGTGTGCGTGCGCGCTTTTATGCGTGACTGTGTAGGTGTGTGTGCGCGAGAACAGAGCAGAGTGACAGCTATGCTGCTCCCAGTAGCACAGCTAAAACCATTGTCTGAGAACTGCCGTGGTGGCATTAATATAGGCATGAGGACTTGCAACCACCACTTAGTGTTGGCCTTCAATATTTCCTCCCTGATGCTTAAGAGAATAATCATGCCTGTAAAGAATCTCAGAGAGAATAATAGATCAGCTTTTTTCTGTAGATTCAGAGACGTTTTTCTGTGACCCAGAAACACTAAGTAAAGCAATCATATTAAAGCTCATACGTGCACATATCAATATTTCCACAACATGAAATATGAATGTGTTTCCTCTATCCTGCTGCTTTGTGTTCGTGCACACACACACGTGCGCTCATTTGAATGCAAGGTGGAGCATTCCAATCTTTTCTGTATTTTTGAAATGACTTTAAAAAAATGACTTGGTGGTTAACATAATAAGAGCTGAAGTGTACTGTGCGCATGTTTGATCCGTACCCGTCGTTGTTGTAGGAGGCGAGCACCACGCTGGGGCTGGAGTAGGCGTTGCTGGTGACCCATGTGCAGTGGACGGCGAACATCATGAGCAGCATCAGCATGAGCATGGTGACGATGGACTTGATGTTTGGACCCAGACCCTCCTCTGCCTTCTCCTGCTCCGACACATGTTTACGCACCTTACCCGCCTGCAGGGGGAGACAAACACTTTTTATGATGGACGACAGAGTCTGTAGCGTTCCAGGGAGATGAATTATTGAGCGGAACAAATGATTGAATAAACTAATTGAGCAAAGTATCTTACAGCAGCCTCGTGCTTTCAGTCACTAAGGATTGTGAGATGGACCTTGTGATGAGTTAATATCGCTTCACACCAGCAGCAGGGAATTGTTAAGGCAATAAAAACTCTGGAGAGGAGGAAATCTGCATAATGGGAACATTTGTCTTTACTAACACCTCCAACTACTTGCTCTCATACCTTAACTGTGGCTTGAAGTGAGCGAGGAGAGATGTAGATAAAACATGACATCGGGCCAAAAGTGAGATTAACAATGGAAGGACTGTACAGTTTTACTTGTTTTTAATGAGTGGATGTGTAAAGTTGTCTCGTCGTGATATACGGTATAGGTTATTTGTTTTCAGACGTGTTCTCGTGATCTTAGATTGACTTCCTGTATTGATAAAGATAAATCAACTATCAATCATTTATAAAAAGTGGACATAGGTTGATACACAATGATCAATTGCATGTTTGAATAAATATAAAAACTGTATCTGTAGTTTTCATTGTAAACATTGTATATATCATTATTTTATAATAAAGATCAGATGTGATGCATCTAATGTTTTTCCTTGCAGAATGTATTCATGACCTTAAAGCCTTTTGTTTTGAAAGCTAGATTATTTTCATCAGTTTCTTCTGTTCTATTATTCCTCTATGTTGGCAACAAATGATTCAATGTGTATTCCATATTTGTTGTTATGCAGCTTGTATTAACATCAAAGCTTCCAAGCATAGTCAAAATGTCCATCACTGCATTTCTCCACCGATACAGAGCAGCAATGATGTGGAACAATCTGTCACCATATGCAGATGCCCAACATAGCTTTCTCCTTAAGGATGGATATCTGTGGGTGATACATGAAGTGATGTGATGCCAAGGTGGACCTGAATAGACAAAGCCACAGTTTGGCTCAGCAAGTGACAGCCGTGGGATCAACATTCGACAAAGTGAGACAGCTACAATGATGGCAACGGCATCCAACAGTTGCAGCTGAATCACAGTTGAATCACACGTTACCCAAACTGGCAAGCTAAACTGTTGAGGAGTGGGGAAAGCTGACAAACATGAGAATGATAGATCCAAAGGTGTAAAGTCAATAAGGAGCTCACGGTTGCCTTTATGCGTTTCATATACATTTGGATCATTCTCTCCTGACCTGACCTTGTCATAAAGGTTCCCAGAATTCCTCTTGTCGTCCTCGTCGCTGCTGTCTTCAGCGGGGGGTTTCTCTCTCTTCGTGTCGTCTCCCATGTAATGCTCAAAGACGCTGGAGAAAGCCACGGCAGACAGCATGCACACCACCGGAGTCAGTGTCAGCATCAGGCGCACCATCACACCGGCAAAGTACACCGCGCTGATGGCATACAGGGCCACTGCAAGGGGACAGGAATAGAAGGTGGTGGGTGGGAGAGAGAGAGGGAGCACAACATATAGAAAGGTCAGTCAAGGAGAAAGACGGTGTGAAAGTAAAGGACAGAGGGAATTGGGCCGAGTGTGTGAGACGGAAATAAGGACATGAAAAAGAGAAAATGAGTTGTAATGCAGCATAATCAGCAGCTCTGCAGAGTTGAAACCCTAAACGGAGAGGGCGCTGGCTGCTTTCCGTCCTTGAAGAGTGAACACCCGGCTCAACAGGTGCATGGCTAATCAATAGCTGTAATTGGCTGATTAAGTCTGAGGGAGAAACAGGTCGGGCTGCTGGAGGGCGGAATCTGAGCGCTTAAAGGTTTTCTGCCCTTGATCTTGGCTGTCTCTCTCTCTGTAAACAGAAACGTTTGTTTAAGATGATTGGGTTTTTTTTAAGTCCCCCTTGGTGCTTTTCTTTTGCTGGTTCCTAGCTCGACATGCCTCCCAACCCGGCTACGAATATAAACTGAACCAAAAATATAACTTCATGCAATTTTCAGCATGATAAATAAACGTGAGCAAATGAATCGATACATTTTAGCACGTGAATGGGCTACTGCGCAAGTAGGCAGTATGGTTTTTAACATTTTGTAGGCTACTTATAATTATGGCTTAAAACGTATTCAACAGATATGTTCATATTTGTATTCACACTATGTCTAAAAGACTCAAATCTATGATGAAACCCATCAAGTCACGGTCGATTTGTTGCCAGGAGTGCATTTTTTCTTAATCAACCAATCACAGCTTTTAAAATCTTCCTTGCTCAGAGTTGCTCTGAAAGGATCTTAGGCTAAGCGTGGACTCCTGGCTAGAAAATGTAAAGGTAAGTACTTTCAGTAAATGTGTCAACACGACCACGTGTGATGTACCATTTACAAATCAATCATGCATGTTAACCTAGCCTACTGTTTATTGAGCGGATAAATGACTCAATTATTTGCTCGTCTTTCCAATTCATGCTGAGGTGAAAATAAATGTCAGAGAATGTCCAAGCTCATAAACTGTAGAGCTTTTAATAAAGTGTTCCTACCAAACACTCGTTCATCGTTGATGTTCTTGATGCAGAACCAGAGGCCTGCTGGGAAGGTGCAGACCAGGATGTGGAGGTCGAAGAAGAAGGAGACCCAGGTGGTGGGCTGGTGCTCCGACACTGACGCTATGATGGGGATGTGGATCTTAGCATAGCTGGAAACAGAGGGGAGGGGAAGGGACAGACAGAATGTAATTCATGTTGGGTTGAGCCCATTGGGAGTGTTGAGACAAATGAAACAATAGATCCTTCTGATTAACTCCAGAGTTATGAGGAAAGAAGATAATGTACCTCCCTGCATGCTTATGATAAAAAATGGACACATTTAGAACTGAAAGAGTACTTTTTTTTCCCAAGCTGTGTGTTCCCTTTTTATTCATTACGGGCTTTTACACAGCAGTTTCTACACGTTTCAAATACTTCTCTAAAGTGCTTAGTGATTACAGCTGGGAAAGAGAAAACACACAACACATTAAGGAATTAGTATCAGCTTCCAGAGGGGGAAAACTATCCCATACTGCTCCAGTCAGCAAACAAAAGGGGGGGGGGGGGGGGGGGGGAGAGAATGGATTGGGTGTGCTGGAATATCAAACATGTTGCAGTGCATTTGGAAAACACAGGGTGCCTGGTGCTGTTTGGCAGGAAGACAATAGTTCAACACCGAGCCTGAGCTGCACAGTTTCCCCTCTGGGACGGTGTAGGTGGGGTTTATAGTCGGATTTGAAAACACACACTTGATTGAACATGTTTTCCATCGACGGTGGGAGTGTGAAGGTCAGCAGATCTTACCCGGTGTCCCAGAGAGAGTAGAAACGACCACTCCACGGAGCAATGTGTCCTGAGGAAAGAAAGGATTTGTTTATTCATTCATTCGAGCCTCTGAATATAGCGCCTGCTGTTAGGGGGGCAGGAAGATGAATAAGGTGTAGACCAGAATAAAGACCGAATGAAAGGACCAATCATTTTAAACAACATACAAATACTCTCATTAGAATGTCCTTTGCTACAACCAAACGCAATTATTTATAAAGCAAACTCTACCCAACTGTGCAGCTTTGAATAAATAAAAATGGAAAACACTATCTGACCCAAAGGCCTAGAAAATGTATACGAGTTGCAAAGTTTGCCTGAGGATAAAACAATGGATGTCTACGATACAGTTACTATTCACTGTGTGAAACCAAACTGAACTACTGTATATTGTGGGAATGCGCAGCTTGAACTTGGGTTTGCGATCTTACTAATTTCTCTTATAATAACAAAATAATCAACAATAAAAGGTAAAGTGAGAGAGGAAACACCCTTACTTTTTATTTATTTAAAAGTTGAAATGCACCCCTGCAACACAATGCAGTAAAAATGTGGTCTTTCAATCTGTTATTTATGTGCAGATGCAAGAAGATACACATGTACGAGTGCAAGGCAGCACGATTTACATCCTGTCGTCGCTTATACACTAATCTGATTGAAATTACCAGAGAGCAACGGCTCTGTATTAAACCAACCTTTTCTGCCAAGAGAACTCTGATACAGAACATGTCAATGCTTTAAATGTATTCTATTGATGGTACTTAACTACTGAAATTGACTTGTTTATAAATGTAACTGAAACCATTTAAGCTGAAAATTAGATCGCACAGGGCATTTGATGTGCTCATTCAAATGTCTTATTTTGGTAAGGCTTTGATGTGGAATACATTTCAGCTCTGAACTGTTGCCTAGGGGCTCTCACACACACACTCACATGTGTGCACAGACACTAACATAAACAAAAGCCTGAGCCCCATATTACACATTTTGTGGCAGGTTTGCACCAGCATGTAGCTGTATCCTGTCCTTTGGAGAGATCCTTTCTTAAGCATTTATGATGAAATAAGCACCACTACCATCAGAAAAAAACTCTTTAAATAAGATGTCAGAACCGAAGCAGGCATGAAATAGTAATAAAACTGAAATGGGAAATATTTTGAGAGGTTATTGAAAGGATGACACTGATTTAAGCAATCAATACTTGGCTTTGAGTTCAATATACTGAGGAAACCCACTAGGCTACTGAGTTGCAGAGATTTTTAAGAGATGAAAAAGTCTAATAGACCAGAGAATCACATGCGCAGCTTCACTAGGAAACTGGCATATCCCCAAACAGTCACTGACTCCCACTGCTCAATTCAGATGGCTGACACATCACAGCGGTTACCAGACGTCCAGGATCTCTCACGAGACTTCTGCGTACGCATGAGTGGCCAATGAGCTCTAAAGCAGGCAGGCGGAATATCTGAGGACGCCAAATATAACCATAGATGTAATGTGACACCATCGTTTTGCACAAAAGGCCTGGCTTTCACATCATCTGGAGTGACAGAATGTCAAATTGCTGTTTATGGCTAGTAAATAATCTGCTGTCTTAATTAAGGTGAGAAAACCAATTTCTCATGTTGGGTTAAAAAAAAGCCACACGCTTTATTTAGGCTCATTACAGACTGCAGAAAACGTGTGCATACACAGCCTAAGGGGATACGAGAGCGCTCCATTTCCTTCACATATTAGCTTTCCTGGGACCAGTCTGAGGTAATGAACCACTACTGTAGATAGGGAGAGCAAATCTAGTGTTTAAAGAACCAAAAGCTGGTATACCATGTCAACTTGAATCTGAACACTTCAGCAGGAGACTAATAGAATCAATAAATAGCAAGGAGGCAACATTTGAAAGGTCTGTAACCTTGTGGCCACAAACGCAGGCCGAACTGAAAATAATGGAGAAAACATTGACTGAGGGCAAAGTTCAACTGGCTTGCTGTGCGCATCGGGGTTCAACCAGGCCAGTGAAAAACAACATTCAACTCCAGAAAAAGGCCCTCGAAAGAGCACTATCTTCCACTACTGCTCCACAGTCCTACAACTTGTAAGGCTGCAGCATCCCTATCTGCTTCTATTTGCTTATCATGTGCCTTCCGGGTTTCATTTTCTGATGAACCAAACACTGATTAGCGGCCCACTGGGGAGGCCTGCAGGTCAGACCAATGGGGAATAGTGTATAAACATACTGTAACTTCTGGCTAAATAAGGAAAACACAATTTGAAATGGCTGATATCCCAGATCTGGATCAGCATCATTAAATCTAGTCTTCTGATCCTTGCACAAAATGCTATTGGTCCATACAATCCCAGCCAAATCAAAGCTAACTGCTTACATCTATAAGAATAAAAAGACAGGGCTCAAAACAAAACCACTATTTGTTTAGCCAATGAAACTATCATTAAAAAGAGATATTATATCACGATGAGCTATCTTCGCAATAATATTTAGCAGGAAATAAAGCCAGGGAGTGAGAGACACATTCATTTGTTGTAGCTTGACGTATCATGAAAGATGATCTGCTCATCGCCATTTTTGTTTAATTTCCTCGTGTTGACATTGACATAAACGTTCTGGCTACATTTGGGAGACTCAAATGTTTTATTCTCTGGACTGGGCAGGCCGGTTACATGGAAATATTCACTGAAAGCACACAGCCAGGTAAACTATAAAGACATTATAGTTAATGAAAAACATTCTGTGGTTCAGCATTAATTAATAAAGGATTGATTTGTTCATTTTGTATTCTCTAACCTTGATGGATTGGCTGCTTTGTTTATTGGTTGCAACCATTATTAATTGTTTCCAAAGAGGGCTCCAACTAATAATTATCTCTTTTATACATGAATCTATTGACTTCATTTGAATTAAAATTGGACAAGAATGTTTCTTTCATTTGTCTGTTTTGTCAGACTAACCTGAAAACAATGTATGACACAAAACAGAAGAAAGCAGCAAACACTCAAGTTGCTAGGCGGACATACAGACCTGTGTAAGTGAGATAGATGACTGTGAGGAAGACCACGCCGGCGGCAAGAGACACTCCGAGGAGGAAGAGCGTCTGGAACTCCTGTCGGGTCAGCCTGTCTTTCAGGTACTGCAGAAAGGCATAGGCTTGGAGAAGTGCAAACACACCTGAGAAGAAGACACACACAGAAACAAAAGAATGAGCAAACATACAAGAAGAAGCTCAATCTTTATTTATTTATATAGCACATTATATGTTATATTATATTATACATTATATCCCCAGGGAGCAGGTTTACGTGGATAAGAAGTGCTGCTGTCAGTTTGGCAGAATCCTCTACAAAGCAGTTTGGAAAAGCCCCTTTGGCAGTTCATGCAGATGTGAAAGGCAAATACTGCGGGACAACATATTTCGAATGCATGAGACAGATTGTGTGAATAAGCTCTTCTCTTTCCCTCGCCTTGCTTTCTTTTCAGCTGCCCCTTTGGTTACACTTTGTTCCTTTGCTCTGACACTTTCTCAGAGCCAATTCCTCCAGAACATTTCTCTGCTTGTCTGGTGAATTCGATATAAAACATTTAAAAGAGTTCTTTCGTCACCCTCCCATTCTATGACAAAACATCATGAAATCGCCTCACTCAACACCACACACAGGAGGTCTCACCCATTTCTAAGGTTAAAGTGCTGCCTGTCTCCTGGAGAGCCGGGTGGTGCTAACACTTTTGTCAGTCTCTGCACACCCCCCCCCCCCCGCCTGTCTCAGGGAGTAACATTCTCAACGCTATCGACAGGTCCACGGCTCTGTCACTCTCTTCCTGTCTCCCACTGTGCTCCCTGGATGCTACCACCAGATGTTCAGAGCAGCTGCTACCCAAATGACATAAAAAAACACTCAAAGAGAGCAGGGAGCCGAAAACTGAGAGGCAGAGGAGATTTTTGATGGTGCATTTTTTAAGTGCCTCTCATAATGCGGTGTGTGTTGTACAAACACCAGAAAACAGGGACACTTCATCGTCAGCCTGCTGCAGTGTTAAGAGAATTCTCCAAAAAGGTGCTGCTCGGCGTCCTAAAGCTGCCAACGGCAGTCCTCTCACAATCTGGATGTAAATAAACACACAAATCATGCACATACAAACGCACCCACTCGTGCCGCCAGGCAGCAGATGGGCCCACTGTTGAGTGGCGAAACTGAACAAGCTTTAATAAACTACCCACAAGCCAAAAATGAAAAGTACTAAAAGTGGGTGGCTTGTGAAGCGGCTTACTTATTTCTATTTTGTAAATATATTCCGAGGAGGTCTTGTGTTTGTTCTCCACAGAGAGCATGACTAACACTGTCAGCACTAGGGGATTCAAAGCCTCTGCCGCAGCCAAACAATCTTAAAGTGTGTGCATCCATGGTAGTGTGAGGTGCTTTAGATAACAAGCTAGTGGCTTATGTAACGTCACACCTTTAATACGCGAGTTACAGCAGTCAGCCATAACCCCCTAATTTCCACCGGGTCCATCTGCGTCGCGTTACGGCCGCTCCGTTCGCAAAGATCGCGGCCACTCTAGTCAATGGGTGCTATTCCACCACACGCGGCTCAGAAGCGTCCCAGGAGCGTCTCGGCGCAGGGCAACTCTAAAATTATGATGAATCCTATTTTTGACGCGACGCAGCCGTAAGGTAATGTCGGGCAGGCAGGAAGTGGAACGCTCAGAGCATATATAGCATATATATAGCATATATATATATGAATGCTGTCAAAATTATCACGTTAACAGCGGTAATTATTTTTTTTTTATTAATTGCGTTAAAATATTTAACGCATGCGCAGAATGGCCCGCCCCATACATCCCACCAGTGGCAGCGCCAGGGTATGGCTGGGGTAGGCTACAGCCATACCAAGAAATGGCTTATCCCCACCATGAAAAATGATGTTAAAGTAAGCAAAATAAAGTCCGCCAACTCGCGGAGTAAATTGCACAGACAGCAGTTAGTAAGATTGATTTCAGCAGCCACTTGTCTGGAAATACCGAAGACTAGAAACGGTTTTGAAAACTTTTGTCACGTAGTGATCGTCTTCTCAATAGAACATCTTTGATAATGTCTTCTGGCTAATCAGAATCAAGATAACGGCGTGGTGTTGTTGCAGGAAGTCCCGACGGAGAATACTTTTGCTGTGTTGATAGAAATCAACACGTAATGAAATAAGACCCCACGGTTTGATGATTGATAGGTGTGTGGGCTGTCTTTCATTTTGACACACAGAACAATGTTATAATAAACACACATACATACGTATGTTAAATGGATATATCCGCCTTCTTTCATTAATCTTTCCATTCCCACAACAATATACATAAAGAAATGGCATATTTTGGACATAGTTCGAATGGTGATTAATCATGATTAATTAATCTTTAAGCTGTGATTAATCTGATTAAAAATTGTAATCGTTTGACAGCCCTAATATATATATATATACACACAAACTAATTTTGCAAACCCTATCCCTCCGTAGTCTTTCAATTAGGAGTAAGAAATGCCAGCGTTCTCCTCCGGTTTACAGGCACTGTGTAAATTATATATATAGAATAATGATGATGATAAATGCATTTTTTTACCACTAAAATACAGCAACACATCTTTGATTAATGTCGTTTATAACTGGAATATTATTATTATTATTAACTTTGTCTGTACAAAGTAGCCTGTCCAGGAAATATGCCCAAATCAAAAAAGCTGCGAGCCGGCAGGCAAGACGCTCCGCTTCTGAAACGCGCCCGGTGGGTTATGACGCTAGAGGAGGTCGGACCAAAACCGCGGCGCAGACGGACCCGGTGGAAACTAGGGGTTAACCTCTCTCTTGTGTTGCACCATACATCAGGAGAGTTGGAAGAAGTGAACATGAATACAATCTCTGTATTGTGACTATGTGTCCTTGGATAAAGAATTCAGTCAGTTCAGAAACGTATGTAACTTGGAATAGGATTGTTCCATATAATGTCAAAACATGTTTGATGTTATTCAAGGTAAGCATTGTAACAAATATCTTTTAGAAAATAAAAATATGCCATCCAACCTGAATGAATAGATTGTGTTTGCCAGGCTTGGGCAGCAAATCAAGTTGTAAACACCAACATATTATCTAATAAAGTTAGTATGGTAAACTGTTTTTCTGAAAATGTAACTGACTGGAGCGATTTTAGCATTTAGTGAGATCAAATAAATACTCTCCAACTCCTGAGGAAAATATTTGTAAATGTAATCATACACTAGATCGTAGGATACAGGGGGACGAGGACGAAAATAATAGTAAAGTTGATGGCTGCTATGTGTCTTACTTGTGAGAAGCTCTGACATTTGGTGATAAAGGTATTATTGAGTCATAACTTGGAAAAAATAAGGCAGTGATATTTTCCAAGAAACGCTGACTTCATCAGTGCACTCTGAACGACACTCATCTTCAAACTTTCCAGAAGTGAACTTCTTCATCGAAGAAGAAACGCCGGATCAGCTACTCTGGAAGGAGATAGAGTGAGACTTACCGGCAGCAGCCATGTGCTCGCTGGTCCTGATTGGCTGGAAGCCCACAAAGGGGATCTGCATCGACAGTACAAGACCCACAATGTAGAAAGTGCTGTAAGCTGTAAACAGAGAAGAGACAAAATGAGAAATAAAGCAATCAAAATAACGTATTGCACTATAAACCTTCCATTATGTTCCACTACTGCAGTTTGGATGCTTCTAAGGGAAATCAACCTCAACAGAAGTATTTAAAGTCTATTGATTTCCGCGGCCGTACTCTTGAGTGAGTAAATACAAAATACCTGATCTCATGTCATTTACTGTGAAAACGGGAGCTGGCTCTGTGCGGTGTGACGACGGTGCTGAGAACAGTGCGACTCCCACCTTTGTAGCTGGGGGGGAACCGATTCGCAGACGCACCATCTTAATTAAGATTTCATACTCTTCCTGAAGAGTGTGCCTGGTTTTTGAAGAAGTTGTGGTCGCCCTCAGCTAACTCTTACTCACACATCTGCTATTGACTCAAGACAGGGAGAGATGAAATGTGAGGGAACATAGACCGCGAGGCATTTTATTAAACCGGGACTTTCTTTCTTTTTTTCATGTTCCCTCTTAGTGAGATAGACACCTGACTCTAAAGAGGGAAGCTGCAATATGTAAAGAGGAGAGAAGGTGAGCAATGTGATAAGGACCTAATGTCTTTTCCGTCACCTCGTGTCGACATATTTCTCTATCTCTCATTAGCTACCAAAAGGTGCATGAAGTTGCAGGATGATATTTCTGCGGCAGACATCTTTGAGGGACAAGAAGGGATATTTTCCACTTTATATAACAGCGCCGCATCGCCAAGTACAATGTCATGGCTGAATAATACTTTGGAGATAGAGCAGAGGTCAAAACCATCTCACTGTGGAGAGACCGTCATTTATTTTCAAAACTCTTAAGGACCACGATTTGCAGTTACATACAACATACAGATACAACATATAATCATGTGAAAAATATACTTTACACCGTGGTTTTTTTCTTGATCACAACAGAAGTGCCTGTCGCGAGCTCGTATTCAAGCTGAGGACGAATGTGTGGTGATTCTCTGAGCCAACACATAATGTGCCAAGGCTGGTCGGTGTGTGCTGTGACACTGGGATGTTCGCTGGAATAATAAGCCTACCCTCTTCACCAGCGTTCTGCCTCTCGTATTTGCACCCATAAAAACGAATAGATCAGGTAGCAGGTGGCTGCGTTTACTGTTAAGTGGTGTGTGGGTGTGTGGATGGCGTCTGCACTGCAGATGATGGAACGCTTACGGTTGTGAAAGATGAGCACAAGCATTTGAGCTCGTTTCAGGGTCAAATGCTTCGGCAACGATGCTGGGAAACGCAACTGAAGGAGTAGTGGTTTTTGTTCTGTTTATTGCATACAATTCTATTCTAATGGAAGAGGATCTGAAAAGAATGTCAGTTTCAATTTCAACAACAGTTTGTGGGGGTGCTTTAAACATCAAGTACTTCAAGTTAATGTGTGTGCGTAGCTTACCGATGTAGACTCTTTTGCTGTAGCGTTGCATCAGCATCAGCACAAACACGTGCAGAGGAATCAGGTTGATAATGAACACATAACCTCCCCATGCGGACACCTGGAACACACATTCAAATAGTAATGTCAGTCAGACTGCTGAATTTCATATGATCAAACATTCATCATTTATTTATTTCAAACAAGGTCACCAAGCTGAGTTGAGGCTTTCGTGTTATTCGGTTACTTATCACAGGGTCTATGCAGGAATCCTGAAGTCAAATGTTAGACCTTTTAAGACCCTTTCCATAAATGTTAGGACCTCATCGCCACTTCGAGTTTTAACCGGTTACCTTGGCGACACACTTTACCTCACATTCACTATATACAGTATTGATTGTCCTTCCTCCTTATCTTCCAACCATTTGGACGCAAACTTGCATTTCCCCATAACGATGTTGTTTAACAACCGGCGTAAACGTACCTTCGCGCGCTATCAAGCAGTGAGCGTGCCATGTCCTGTTCAGGTGACGTCACATCCAACGTGATGCCATAAATAAACTACACAGAATCACACTACACACCTACGCAATGATTACATTCAGGCAGACTTTAGAATACAACCTCTTTGGACAATTTATATACTTATTGAAAACAAGCTACAAAATGTAATACCTTGGAAAATGCCGTTTAATACTTTTTAATAGCCTTCATTTTCGCTAAATGGATTTATCAACTTTTAATACTTTTTAAGACCCCGCGGACCCCCTGCAAACCTCAAAACTGAAAGCAGACCTGAAGATAAACGTTTATCACAGAGCTGCCACAATATGTTGAAATTGTTTGGGAAGGAAACCAGAAAGTCTTTGTAACGTGTATTTGTTCCGTGCAGCTGTGGCCGAGGATCCTACACTTAACAGAAGGTTGGTACATGTCGAAGTGTCCTTGAGCAAGATACTGAACCTCAGTGGGTGTGTGTGTGTCAATGTTCATCACTCCTGATAAGCGGGTGGCACCTTATACTGTGCAAGTGTGTGAATGGGTGAGGACTGGCTTATGTTATGAATCACTTGTATGTGTCTGCTAGGATAAGAGAAGCTCAATTCAAAAATTCTAATGAATTCCATTCTCAAACATCATTCTAATCAAATAGAGAGTAAGTACGGATATAAACACAAGTGACCCCTGCAAAAAAAGAAAAGAATGAAAAGGCCTTGAATAGCATTATCCCAGATCAGCCATTGTACTGCTTCTGCTCACATGAATTAAAACCTGACATATAAAGAATCTATAAAAATGCAATCGTACTTTTCATGCTGGATGGACCGATATAGGCTCGGCTAAAATTATACCTAAACTGTTTTTGAGCAACGCTAAATATCACAACGCTGGGTTTCGGGACAGTTAAAGAGCTCTACAAAAAACATCAGACAAGTTTTCAAGTACCAGCAAAAAGGCAAATGTTAAGTGTGAGAGCACTAGACAGGCAGAGAGGAGAGCTTAGAAAAGGGGTGTTGAGATAGAGAAAGAAAGACAAAGGGAAAAGACAGTTGTAAAGCATTAGAAAGTGCAACCGAGAAAGGGGGAGAGACAGCATTAGACAGGAAAAGGGATTGCGTGAGAGCAACGTTTGTTTTGAACAGCTTGTCAGAAAGAGCCACATTGCACCTGCTCAGTACGATGAGGAGCATTCATAACACTCCTGCAGTCTAAATAAGTTCCAAGCTGAACGATTAGAAGCAATTCTATTTTGGCAGTGGTTAGCGTCTGTTCTCTCAGATGGTGACAGCCAATTAGTGACATGGGGCAGTATCTCCAATGAAAACCAGAAATGACTTGAACTACAGACTCACAGACTGATCCAGTCTTTGGAGCTGACTACAAATAGAAAAGTGGAAACGCAGTGTGCAGCGCCACTGTGGATGCAAAACCATAACACTTTTCAATTTCTAGTGAGTATGTAATGATGAGGAAAGAGGAAACTGCAATTCAACCCCCTCTTCCTCTGCATTTGATCAAAACTGGCTGCAGGCACAAAGACAAGTTGGACGCGTCTCCATGTTACAAAAACCATGCCAACCGAATGTTTTAAAAATATTGATCCCTCTGAGTTAGACTCTCTGGCGTCATTAAGGGGCATTATTGACTTAGTCAACATTACATGTAAGGCTTGTTTTCCCTTGGGGTATAACTGGGTTTAGAGGTTTAATGCCATGGTGGAGAAATGGAAGATAGTGATCGAAAATATTCCCATGGTTACTATTTCCAAGGGTTTAGGAAAAAATAAAACTGGGCTTGTCATGGGTTTTAAAATAGCTCACTTACAAAAATTGTATTATAGTGGTCAAAATATGGCTTTAGTTGAGAAAATGTATCAATTTCTTTTTGTGATTATTGTATTTAGCAGCAGCTTGAACATATAGCACAGTGGTGCTATAACTTAAGATTAACATAGTAGAATGTTCACATTAATATTGCATACATGTTCATATTTATGTTACCCTTCTCAATTCAGCATGTTAACATGCAATGTACACGTTTTTAAAGTCAGATATCAATATGTACCGTGATATGACAACGGTATCTTTGATTCAGGAAACTCTACAATGCAACCTGAGAGCAGATTTACCTCCAGTTTTGGGATCATGCCAGTACAATCAACCAAAAGAAAAACCTGCCATCTGGACATATTACAAGACTACAGAGGTGAATGCTCAAGACAGAAAAGCAAGGCTGTGTGTGAGTGTGCAAGAACAAGCACTATTTCAAATGATGGCTCAAACTGCCAGGCCTTTGCCCGAGCCACAGGCCATCAGCTGAGGGCAGAATTTAGAAAATGTTTCGGGCCGTTATCACTCTGTATTTCAAACCGGGCTTATCTGATGACCGCAAGGCCACTCTGAAGACGATATAGAGAACACAGCATGCAACAGGAAGAAGGGTTTTTACTCTGCTCGTGTGTGTGTGTGTGTGTGTGTGTGCAAGTGTTTGTAGCCTCATGCGATTTATTCTTGTGCGCTTATTTACTAACACCACCCTCTACAACACCAACAGTGACTCTCTGGATCATTAGAAACACTTTAAGATGACATTGAGAAGAAAAGACCCTTAATGATACAGGATGAACAAAAAGGTTAATACACAAATGGCTCAGTGAATCTGTGTGTATGTATTCTTACATACGAGTCAGGTAGTGATAGCTTCTTGGGAATAGGCCAGTTTCCTGCTCACAATGGAACTCTAATCCCAACTGATTTTCCGATTTCAAATCATTTGCACTCCGATTGTCAGGAGGGGTTAATTGGGGATAAATCTGTCAAAAACGTAGCACCTTAAAGTCAACAGCCATGCTAGGAGATCTTTGTCGCTGTACTTTCAGCTAAGCACTACAAAGTAAAAGAAGTATTTTACATTTTTAAACAAAGGGACATATTTTTAATCACCAGAGGAGTCTTCTGTTCTGGGCATTTAATCAATACTTCATTAAGCAAAGGAGCTTTTGGTGTTACAGGTTGTTCTGCTCGAGGGGACTTTGAAGGCTTTAGAGAGGAAAGTAAGCCAAAGCTTTGGGAATGAGTGCAATGCATCTGCTTTTGCTCTGTCCTCTGTTTACCCCTCACTCCACCCTCACCCCTGGAGGGATGAATGGAGGATGCTGTGCAGCTGCCCGAATGGTTCCTGTGGCTTCTGTCCATCAGTGAGGTCCTACTGTGCTGGAACCCTGTCTTAATCCTGTCCCCCTCTGTCCTGTCCCTGCTGATAGTGCTAATATCCAGGCAGGGGGATCTGTCCCTCTCTTGCCCCTTTCACACCAGCGCTTTTTCAGCTCCGGCTCGGAGCTGGAGCCTGAAAAGCGCCGGTTTTTCCTGTTCACACCGCAGCGGCGCCGGCTCTTAGCTCCGGAATCGGGGTCACTTCCAGCTCCAAACATTTTTCGGTCTAGAGGCAAGAGGTGGCGTCGCTTACGTCTCTCTTACGTCGAGGCGTGCAGGAAACTAAACCCTCCTCCCCTGAACATGGGTCGACTGTCATGCCTGCCTACAAGCAGTAGTGCTTATAAACACACTTTATAAAGTCAGGCAACACTAACCAGGCTTCGTGTGATTCTGTTTATTTGTACCTTACTTTGACCATCCGTTCACTGTTATTGATCATTGTGGAGAGAGGGAGACGTGTTGTTTTTGTATTATAGCAGCTATCGGATGAATTCAATACATGGGC